ATTTTAAATAAACTTTCTAATACCAGTTTGAGACAAGTTTTTTTAAGTAAAACAGTACATTAGTGCCATAGATTACTAAGTTTTGATCATTAATTAAATTAACTATGTTAGTAATAAAAATTACTATTTATCTATTTATCTTACTATTACTTGAACTAAACTTACTATTTAAAAAGTAAGTTTTTGGGATATAAAGTAGCAATTTATTCCTTTCAAAAGTAAGTTTCATATTTATTTCAATTTACTTTTAGAGACATAAAAGTTACTAATTTATTATGTTAACTTACTATTTTAGATGAGAAACTTACTTTCTTGTCTTTAGACATTATTCTATTTAGGTGAATATGTCCAACAGACAATCAAATGATCACTAGAAGTATGATATTATATACTGTTTAATTACTGTACCTATCCCATTTTCCTACACTGATAACTGATTAGTGTGCAACAGTTTGCACCTTTCAAATTAGTTTCAATCGCTTACACGGATTCATAAATAAGGTGATTGCAAATGGCAAATTCAAGCTTATTTCTAATTACAATATTCTCACAAACATTTCCTCCTCTTTAGAAGTTATACCTTCTAAACGAAACATGTTTATTTAGTGGACTACACTAAGGGATATATTTAAATATCGAACCAAGGATTAATTGAAATATTTCCTTGAAAAGTTTGATACTTTGATATCACCAAATAAGTGATATAATAATCATATTTTTTTTAATACATGTATGCATGTAGCTTCTAGAGTTGTCTTTAAAAAAATGCATTGGCAGTGATCTTGGTATATATAGTTTATGGGCGAATGATATTAGCATTCTGAAAAAAGAACTCTAAGCACTTAACCCTTATTTATTATTGTTTAAAATGATATAAACACCCATAATCTAAATTTTCTAATAATTTGGATGTCTAAATTACCCTTTAAGGCATAATTTAGTGATTATTTTTCTTTGCTTTGATGGAGACTTCAACATGGTTGACTATCTTAATTTTTTAATTAAAAAAATTTTAACATCCTTTAAAGTTGTAAAAGCCCACCTGAAAAGTATTAAACAAACTTAAAAGTAATAGACGACTCCAAATCACAAAATCTAGTACTTCATTCAAGGACTGTTAAACAACTCGTATAAATTTGGCATTTTAATTGTTATTAGGAATTTTCTTTACTATTAGCTGTACATTCGTTTAAAATTTATTTAAAGATAGGAAAAATTAAGTGAATTGAATAGACAAAAAGTTATTGATGAATACATAGATGAACAATTTTGTCTCTTAGAATATTTGATAAATTTTTGTCTCATATAGCATCTTTTGTACTTCATTCAAAGACGGGTATACATTATACTCATATAGTCTCTTCTTTCTGTGTTATTACTGTATTGTTTTGAATAAGAGACGAGTTAAATTGAGCAAAAATAACAAGTGAAAAATAAAAGAAGAATAAAGGCAGCAACTCGTCATCATTGTTTCTTTTACACTCAACATTACACTCACTGATTCTTTTTTTTGGCCCATTCCCTAAAGGGTACGAGATTACCGGTGCAGATATTGTGGGTTGTTTGGCTGCTTGACTATGATGATAATTGATAACATTGTCGTCTTGCCTTTGAAACGAAATAAAGTTGCTATATTTTACAAATTAAGCCATAATGAAGTCTACTTCTTAGACCTTTACTATTATTTCCCCTCTAAGGTACAAACTAGAAATGGTTTACGGACAAAGTTAATTGCCTTGTTTATAGTAAAATAAAGAAACCAATGGCACGCCAAGTATGCCAAAAACATTACTGGTCCTGCTGAGGTCTTTTGTTATGGATCAAGAACACTTTTATTGTTCACTTTGCTTCTAAAGAAACAAAATACTTTTTTGGTGACATAGTATCAGAACGCAAAGACGCTTATATTTGTACGTGCTAATAAATAAAGGGAAAACAAGGTCGACTTGAATTACTCTTGTCTATATACGACTCGAAACCCTGGCATCATGCAGTATACGACTTGAATTACTCCTGCCTATAGGGAAGATGCAAAAAGAACCCCAGATGAAGACAGCAGCACCGCCATTTAGGTGGATCATAGCCATGACTCTAGGACAGTCAATCTTGAACGATACAAGGATATATTCTTACATACTTTACTCGTATAAAGTACCTTTTTTTTTAAAAGAAAAAATATATGTTAATGGAAGTAGTGGCACGACTGTAGTTAATCATGGCCTTACCAACCCCATAAATATTTGTTTATATTACTTAAGAAAGCAAAAAATTTGTTACTTAAACAAAGAGTTTAACTGTCTGATGGCTCGGACTCTCATTCTCTAGAGCTTCAAGTCCTCCAGTTGCTTTTATTATATCTTCATGTGGTTGCGCTGGGGAATGGGGTCTGGACGACTACCACACAAAGGGGTTGTGTGGGGCTCGATCATTGACTAATATACACAGAGACTACAAAAGTTCTACCAAAATTAATCTATTAAAACGAGAAAAAACTGAACAAGGAGAGATTCAACTCGCTGACCATTCTAATACTAATTGTGATTTGGTAACCATTGAGCTAGGGATCTGTTACTTGCCGGGAGGGGGCGGGGAGGAGGAGAGGAAGAATGGAAAAAAAGATTAAAAAAGAAACTCCCACAGTCGCTAGTCAGACTCCATGCCCCTGCTTTAACGAATGAATGCAGATAGAGGATATATAGAGGGTTCTATCTTTCATTTTTTCAAGAGGTACGTGAAGGACGACATCGTCAAGCATGTGGCGGGGATCGTGAAAAGAGACATTACATCTAGGGCAAATCTCCCTTTCTCATATTTTAAGTGAATAATGGACATCAAAACGTGAAAGAAGCAAATATGTAAAGGAGTTTGATGAGTCACAAAAGCGACATTTCCATTGTTGGGATGATAAAGTAGACGAACTTGAATCTTGGACGACCTTTCTTCTTGGTCTTTGAACGTATATCATTTGCTGATGATTGACACCTGTCTTACCTGGTGCTCGAAGGAATAAAAATTTCAGTATTTTAGTCTAATCCTCTGATTTTGGATGCTCTTAATCCCATAAACTCATCATGATTTCCAGTAAGGACGAATCTCATTGGTTTGCAAACAACGTCGTTCACGTGGACTTAGCCAATCAGCGACCAGGTTTTCAGACAACTAGGACGAACTTTACTGTGATTGTCTGCGTAGGCTCCGAACTTCCAAGCACTCGATCCATTTTAATCAAAGATGTGTGAAGCCTGTTTTATCAGTGTTCCTGAGTAAGTAATCCGGCCCCTTTTGGCCAGGAGGGCAAATATTCAAATCTAAGCAGCTTTGCACCGGGGATTGTTTCCCATTGGATGAGGAATGATGAAGGCGTGCCAAGAGTTCTCTCGATTGGCGAATGGTGACCTGTGATTTTTATTTTTTTTTCACGTGTTTGTCGGATTCTTGATTGCTGACATGTCTAATTGAGTAAACTACGGAGGATTTGACGATTAAAATAACCAGTCTTCTTCACACACACACATATGTATGTATAAATTCTGCAAGGGAAAAAACATACTACAATATATAGATGTACTACATTTGATAGGGTCCAAGTTGCAATACTGAACTTTGGGACTTATAATTTAGTTTCCTTTCATTATTGCGAAAAGGTTGTTTGAAAGAAATTTAGGGCATACCACAATTAAGCTAATATTAGATTAGTAGAGAACTAGAGATAGTTTCAACTAAAGCACTGTCTCAGTTAGATTATAAACGAACTGAGTCGACTCGAGTTTTGAATTTATCGAGCCGAGATGGAATTGTTAATGTACGAGCTCAAGCTCTCGAGCTCACTAAACCAAAAAATGAAAATCGAGCTCAACTCGATTTTGGAAAAGGAAAGTTCGAACTCGACTCATTTCTAGCTCACGATCTTGGTTCGATTTCTGGCTCATGAGCAGTTCGAGTTTCACTCAGCATTCTGGTTGGCGAGGAGCTTGATAATTTCACATCAATTCGAACTTTTCGAGTGGCTCGTCAAGCAATCAAATCTAACAAATGACTACTTGAGTTCGACTCATATATATTAATGCTCCGTTCGAGTTCGGTGTTGACCGTATTCGAGTCGAACTCTGACTTCAACTGCTCGCAAACAGTTTGAGTGGATTGCAGCCCTAGTCCTAGCATTGGCTTTAAGGGACTTTAATTGCATGAACTAAGAATTTCCTTCGTGAATTCCAACTAAAGCATCCGGTCCCATACCTTACTAGCTTACTGTGTGGGTGCAGCAAAAATCATAAGCTATTACTATTAGAATAAACAATGACGCAAAAGGGCCATGAACTGACACATAAAGATTAGAGTTACTATGTAGGTACTCTTAAATTTAAGACTTTGCTCTGCTGTAGGAAAAAGCAAATTATGACTTAAATTTTTAGAATCTCCACACATTTGACCTTGTCGTTTGATATTGTTAGATGTAAAAAATATACATATGCAAGAAACCCTCCGAACATTATTGATAGGGTAGGCTCCGGTGACGCTTCATGATAAGCAAAACCTTTTTAGGGGGAAAATTCCAAAGCAAGAACTGAAGTTTCATAGTAAATTTTGGAGGAAAAAGAGATGTGAAGGAGAAGAGTTGTGCCAAATGAAAAATAACGAAAGAATAGAAATAGAGAATATGGTTTACGTACATAAAAAGGGCATCCCATGGCTTTTAACGTTTGGCTCACGTGAAAAAGCCCCTAGAGTTGCCAAATACCTCTATCATTGGCCAAAAGTTTTCATGGGAATTTAAGGTTTACAGTTACTTAAACGGGGGTTACGCTTTTCCTGTTTTAGAAATATTAAGGAAAGACTTGGATTCCCCACGCGTCAGTGACTGATACGGTGGCGGCGCAACCAAACGTGGTCCTGCCATTCCTAGAATACGAGAATATAAAATTACGGATTCGTCCTCAGTGTGTTAAGTGTTCAAGTTTTAAACTGGTCACATTTCTAGAGTCTGTTTTGGAAACCAAACTCTTGCTATAGCCCTATCCACCATATTTGCTTATAAAAAAGGTCTTGACTTTGATATCTGGCAAATGAGCTTCTGAATAACCCTCTTCAGCAATCACAGCTATAAGCTCATCAAAGATCGAGCAGGCAAGTAAGCTTTTGATCACTCTCTTTCCTAGATTCGCGATTTGACCTAATATACATATATATCGTCTTTTTTTTTTTTTTCCTTTTCTGCTTTAAGATTCTCTTGATGAATTTGCTACGACGGTATATTTGTCAATTAGATCTAACAGTATCCTTTGATATTTAAGCTGAAGAGAACCCTCGATTTCTCTGACCAGGGAATATTATGGGAAGGGGGAAGATTGTGATCCGGAGGATCGATAACTCGACAAGCAGGCAAGTGACTTTCTCTAAGAGAAGAAATGGGCTGTTGAAGAAGGCCAAGGAGCTGGCTGTTCTCTGTGATGCAGAAGTTGGAGTTGTCATCTTCTCAAGCACTAGCAAGCTCTATGAATATGCAAACACCAGGTATGAAAGCAAGTTGTGATCGAGATTCGATTGTTAATTAGGGTTGTCTTTACTCAAATTTGGTATCTGTAGGCTGTGTTGTCTTTTTAAATCATCAAGTGTTGGGTAGATATTGCAAGAACTAGGTAATCCTCAACCAGATTATGCATACAAGAATTGTCTACGCCTTGTCAGCTCATCTCCAGTATGCATTAGATAGTAAACTTTTTTTAGCACATGCTAACGAAATTTTATATGCTTCCTTGGCGGTTGTTCAGAGATTGGAAAGAAAACAAGGCATCTCCATCTGTTCTCATCATTAAGGCATGAGAAGTGTTGCTGCTGCTTTGCGTTTAGCCATAGGATTCCTGAATAAGTTACAGATATACATTTTAGTATACTATTAACTTGGTGGTCCTATCACCTATGCTATAAGATGTTATATATCCCGGACATAGGACTATATTTCTACATATCTTTATTAAAAAAAAAAAAAAACGACGTGCATTTACCACCTGATCATTGCAAAATCTTCAAGTTTTCCTAGGAAAGGTCTCTAAATCGTGTTTGTTTTCTAGCAATCGAGTGTGTCCTTTTCATACAGAAAGAAGGTTAAACATTTTACCTTCTCATCATAAGTAGCTATGTGAAAGCTATGGCTCCAGGATCACGGACAAGCTCAACTTTCTTTAGCAAGCAGAAGCTGAGTATAGAGACGTTGCTATTAACTCGGTATAATATTATAACTTATTCGGTTAATTATAATTGTACCATTGCTCAGGATTTGGATTAAATAGTTATAGAAATATTACATAGATATACAAAGTTTGAGCTGTGTGCATGTCATAAAGATATGGCGGTCAAGTCATTGTTTCTATATATGCGGCGGTTTGATACCTGATCTGCGATCAAAAATACTAATAAAAACATTACCCGGTTGCATTCATGCCAAATCAGAGTTTTTCCAAGATGAACATGGTTTTTGGATGTTTTGTCTTCCCTATTTCCCTCCCAAATGTTTACTGGAGATGCTTCTATTGCTTTTGCACTATTTAGTCCCTCAACTATAAATAATGTTATAAGTACACCTTTCTCATGTAACCTGGAGTGAACTGACTTCTTAAAGTTTATGTTTCACAAACAAATAGGTTCTTAGTTACCACGAATGCAATTATAATGTGAGATGAACTTCCATGTAATTAATTACGGAAAATATATATATGGACAATGGACTTTGTCCATGATATGATGTTGTAAATGACAAACACAATGCAATCAAGTATAAATCTAAGATGGAACACTAATAATCAACGAACTAATTACTACATTGTGAATTAGTTAAAAACTAAGTAGGTTCATGAATATTACCGGTTATGACAATCTCCTTGCACCTCGTTATGACACTAGCTTTGTTAATTTGTTTATCTATTTTTATCATATCTTGGTGATCAGGAAGGGGTTTTTACTATTTGGTTATGAAGATTTGCTTATCTTCCAGTTACCATTATGTTTTTTCCTTTACCGGGCAGCATGAAATCCGTCCTGGAACGTTACAGCAAAGCGAAAGAAGAGCGCCATCAACTCCTTAGTCCACTATCGGAGGTCAAGGTACATTTGTAATTATCATTTCATTACTAGTACTACCTTTTTTCTTTCTCTTATTTATGGTCGTGGACAGTTCTGGTAGAAACAAAAGGCTCTCTTGTTATTAAAGTATTTTTACACACAGTATTCGGAATCTGCCCGTCCAAGAGGAACGAACTATCTTTTAATGGAATTATGTCATGGAAAAAGGTGGTGGACCAGAGAGCAGGTTCTCAGACCTAGATTTCTGCACTCGCATTCAAGTGCCAATGATATTTCATTAGACAACTCACAAAATGAAGAATGAGAATGAGTACACATGAAAAGTGTAAAGCCCAAACACATATATGAAAAATATAGGATAACACAAAAGGGAAAAGAAAAAAAAGTCTAGTGTTGTGCCACAATAGAAGAAATCAAAATTTAGGAAAAATCAACTGTAGAATGCACTAGCAATGAATTCAGGGCTGGAACAGTTATCAATAAAAACTGCAAAACACTATATGCCTCTTGAAGGACTGTGTATTCTGAAGTATTAAATATAGGGATAATTTCAGAAACCTCCCCTGAGGTTTCTGACAATTTCAAACAGCTCCTCTCACGTTTTAAAAATTACGCATACCTCCCTTAGAACATAGGTTTGGGTTTCACCTTGATGATGTAAGACCAAAAAGGTATATGAATATCCAAAATTGCCCTCATCTAATTTTCAAAATATGAATAATCATTAAAATTTTTTAAAAATCAAGAATACACTTATGTACTACAAAATTATGATTTTTATTACTTAGCCAATGTTCTGATGTTTTCCATCCCATGGTTTTCTACACCCACTCAAATTTTCAAACTCTTATCATTTCTTCTTTTTTCTAATAAACTCTTTATTTTGGATGCCAAAATCCACCATCATAATTCTTATCTTTATATTAATCTTTACCTCTCTATAGGTTTCTTCCATATATTGCCTACCAAACCGTCAATCATAAAACTCACAATCCTTACCTTTTCCCCACTTAAACAGCGAAGCCTCTCAATTACCAAAATTCTTCCTTTTTTGAGTGATAGAAGGTTATAATTTAATAGGCATGGGTAAAATAGTTTGGTCACAATATGGGGTCTGGCCAAGAAGAATTGTTTTCCTTTTTTTTGTTATCTTTTTTTATCAATGGCTTGTTTTTGGAAAAAATTATGAAGGTTATTATAGTCATTGTTTATCATCAAGGGAGGTAAGTGTAATATTGAAAACCTCAAGAAAGCTCAATGAAATTGTTAGAAACCTCAGGGGAGGTTTCTGAAATTATCCCTTAAATATACCCTTACACCTATATAATGTACATCTTAGATGTTTTTAGTTCAGTAACAAGTGTGTATATTGGAATTAAAAAAAAAAAAAAGAACAACACTGCTAAGCTACTAAAAAATTTATTTATTTGTTAAATTGAAGCATTTTAGAAAATAGGTATCAATGAAAAATTTTATTGCCATCCGGACCAGCTATTTGGCAAGCTTAGCAGTTAATTTTTGAACAATAAAATAAAGTCAATTGGATAAATAGAGATCCCCCAATCTTACTTAGACTTGTTTAATGTGGAATTAGAAGACTACACAATCTTACTTAGAGAATTTTCATTGTTCAAAAACCAACAATGAGGCCTGCCATAGTTGGTGTAGACTGTAATACAATTTCTTGGTCCCAATTGTACTTCCCAGTGTACAGCTCCAACCATTATGAGGCTATTGAATCATATCACATAATATCCAACCATCATGGTTCGCTTGAGTAATGTTCCCATGGAATTAGATTATTGGCCTTACTAATAGAAATTAAAATATAAAATAAAATGGTAAAGGAGAAAGCATTAAGAGGAGCTCCACAGCAACCATTCCGCCAGAACCATAAGCTAAACAACCATCGTCATTGGCACTTGTCATTGTGGTCGAGACAATAAAAAGAAATAATCCACTCACCAGAGTTGTGCCATAGAGCAAAATAACTCCTGATGGCACACCATATACGATATTGATTCCATTACAAGATAGTTCGTTTGTGTTGGTCGTACAGAATATCTAGAATGTGGAGGTATTTTATTAGTTGAAGGAGCAATCTTATTCAGTTCTATGCCTTCTGTCTATTGGCAACCATGATCAGCCAGAATGATGTACTTTAGTTAACATGTAAAAGGGCAAAACATGATGCAGTGATGAAGTTCATTCCACTGCGACCTAGGGCATCATGGATTCAAAGCATGAAAGCCAGTGGCCCTTCCTCTACCTCGCAATGGAATGAACTTCCTGCAAATGCCTTGCCCATCTTTGGTGTTACCATAGGTGCATCTGACTGGATGATCTGAAATAGATGGTAAATCGTACATTAATGTAGAATATTTACGGAGGTCAGTGATTGCAAACAAGTTTAGGACTGAGTACTCAATAGTGCGAAAGGATTAAAGCTGCAGGTACGGCAATATAGAACTAGAAAGATTGCAACTGCAACAAGGAAAATCACCAGATTGTCCTAGTAATCTGCTTGAAACTTGAAAATTGGTTTCTCCTGGAGTATTTTGTTTGATGGCTGAAGCCATAAAGGAAGCACGCATGGGAACTTCATGAGCTTTGGTGGGAAAACTTAATTATCAAAACTACATTATTTGAAAATTCAGAAAGCGGTCAACTACAAAAACTTTAAGCGTGTTGTCTCTACAACGGTTACCATGATAGTTTTAGTTTACCTGTTGAGTCTGGACAATCTTGACCAGCTCTGCCATGTTATTATCATTAGCATCACTTCTTGTTAATTTCTTTCTTCAAACATGACAGTCATATCTCTAATCTTTGTTATTTTCTTGGCTAGTTTTGGCAAAGGGAGGCAACAATCCTCCGGCAACAATTACACAACTTGCAGGAAATTCACAGGTAAAGTATTTGCCCAGAACATGCATTGTTTACACTATCCGAAAAGAAAAAAAAAAGACAAAAAAAAAAAAGAATAGTCAAGAGGAGTACGGTCACTGACATGAAGTCATGATGTTAGAATTGTCACTGGAGGAGAATTTCTTATATTATGTATTGTCCCTTGTTAGGTGTCTTTCCTATTGGTCCCAATGTTAGCTTCATTTCTATAAGCATGAAGCCCATCACGACCATGAACACTGGGTACTGAAAAGAACATAAGCCAACTCACATGGAGAACTTCCATGACATGTCAAGATATACTAAACTTGGACATAATGATAACACGACAAAAGATTAAGATCTTGCAAAAGTATTACTGGATGTTTGGTTACGTGTTGGATTGTAATTAATCCAGGCATCTGGGGACTCCAAAGATTCGAACATCATTACTGCATGCCGTTCAGTATATGTAAGTTTGAAAACTGATTAATTTGACTGACGTTATTCTTTAAACAAGACAGGCAATTGATGGGAGAAGAACTGTATGGCCTGAGCGTTAAAGACCTACAAGGTCTAGAGAACCAACTTGAAATGAGTTTAAGGGGCATCCGTATGAAAAAGGTCAGACGTCAAACCTTGAAACAAAGCTGTATAAGTCTCTAACTCTAGCCAATTATACAAGTATATTGCTGATGCTGAAATGCTCCTAATTAAAGCTTCTGCTACATCATTTATCAACTTGGCAGGAACAAATACTGACTGATGAGATTCGGGAACTACATCGTAAGGTAAACATCAAATGCTTGCCAATTACCACATGTACTTATATGTTGCAAAATACAAGGCCGTCATAGAAGAGTTAGTGTCAAAAATTATAGAAGTTAATGAGCTTCCCTATAATGTACATTTTCAGGGCTGCCTCATTCATCAAGAAAACGCGGAACTTTATAAGAAGGTAAACTTCCATCAACAAGAAATTATCTCATTGCATAAGAAGGTACTATAATCATATTAGTTACACAATCTCATGCATCAAACAGTTTTAATCACGGGAACTAAATGTTTGAAGGAGCCTCTGTGTCTCAGGCTTATAGCACGAGTAATTCCAATGCCACACATGGGAATACCATAACTCCATATGGATTTGCAATTACTGAGGAGCAACATGCTCCAATCCATCTCCAACTTAGCCAGCCTGAGTCACAGAACTTCGTGACGTCAGAGGGAACCTCAGAATCAAGGTAAACTAGGTTGAAGTTTATCAAGTATTGTTCTTGTATGGAACAGCAAGCTGCAAATCTTGGCTTGAACACTCCTATGCAGGATCATGGACAAAAACCCGCTGGTCTAGGCAAATACACCACTTAGAAAGCCCTTGCATTCACGTCTAAGGAGAAAGAACTGAGCTTTATATTTCCAGTAAGGTAAATCTAGGGCTACGTAACAGAATTAACGATAACGACAGAGTGGTCCAAAATGAAAACCAACTTGAGATAAATTTGCACAATCCATATGGCAGGTGTCTTTGTTAATTCTCATTCATATTCTAGAGCCAATATCTCTCTCTTTCCCTTTTTTTTGGTTGGTTTGTTTGTCTGGTAAGTATTAGAGCCGATATCTGGAATTTGCTTTAACTTAAACTGTGTCTGAAAATTGATTTCTTGTATACATATCTGCAGATTCCTGATAACAATGAGATAAAGTAATCCGGCCAATCCAAGTTACTAAATTGGACAGGAGTCAAGATTTTCTTAAAAAGAATGGACCATAATGAAAAAGGGAGAAAACAAAAGAACCACAATGGAGATAATTCCCACAAATAACTTTCCTTTAAATTCATTAGTTGAAATTCCTCGTCGATGATTCCTAAATGAAGTCAATATAAATGCGTTCTCTTCTTGCAGGTAATTAAACAAAGGCAGTAAATTCTCATCGTATCACGAGTCAAGACCCAAAGGAGGCATGACCGGTTAGACTACATCAACCAACAAGAAAAATGCTAACAAATGATTTACAGAGCTTTCTTCAATTCTCTCGGGTTGTAATGTGTTTGCATTTCGCATGGTGCTTAACTGGTTATATAAACTCTTTATAAGGTTATCCACAAATACTAGTAACCAACGCTGCCTACTGTATTCAAGTGCAAGATTGCATATGCCTGACTGAACTTAATGTGAATATTTTGGTCGTGAAAGCTGAAAATTTAACATCTTGGTAATTAGATGTATGTTAAAATGCACGATCGAGAAATTTTTTCACAGCCCAAAAGAATCAATATTCACATTAGTCCTTATTCAGCATAAGACTGTTACTTTTATAGAGCAGTGGAAAGAGCCAACTGGTGCGGTACGCTTCACATGATTTCAATCCCAACATCGTACCTCTTTTTTTTTTTTTTTTAACTCTCATAGTGAAAAATAAAAACCACACAATTCGAGTTTGTGTATATGACGTATTACCGTCCAAGGAAAAAAAAAAGTGAAACCTGATTTGACGTCGTGGATCAAAAGGAGGGCTCGTGTATTACACATGAAGGGTTCATTCAGATTGTGGCCAATGATCGACTACCCAACCAAAGATGTTGTATGAGGCGAAATAATACATTGGGAAAGCGTCAAGTACGAGTATTTAAGGTCTGACATAATATTATTCTTAAGCAAGTTTAGTCTTCTTTTTCCCTTGCGTGGCATCCCTCAAAATTTAGATGCCAAAATCACCACCCTCACATGTACTGATGTTGGAAATTAACCAGTCTAAGATTTCATGGCAGACTACTTGCAGCAACTCAGCAATTGATTCCCCATTGACAAATGACAACCACCATAGCACAATACCGTTATACTGCAAAATTACTACTACTTAGAAACTAGTTTTATTAAGTTTATTGGTTTCCAGAAAATATCATATCCGGAAGCGACCAACATGCGTAGACAGGGTAGAGGGTGCTCGAATTCGTTAATTATAGTCCATCCAATGATGCCCCATTATACTCTTAAGTCCTTTGTATCTTTTCTCTCCAAGTCGTCTACCAAAGATATGGGATTTCTACCAATGATGCCCCACTCCCAGCCTTATAATTGGATGGCCCAACTCCATTCAACAGCAAGTCCAAGTGTAAGTGTAAGTGACAACAGCTGGTAGTTTTGATGGCTGAATGCTTTTTGAATATACCAAGAACTAAAAGTTGTGCAAAAAGTAGCATGGCTTCCATTTCACTTTTATTTTTTATTTTTTATTTGGCAATCTTCCATATTGTACACCAACAGTTTCATCGCTCTGGGAGATGAATTCTCCCAAATTTTGTAAAACGTCCACAAGATTATGACTGTAAGCATGAGACCCCAACAAAATAACGGAAATTATTATCAGACCCTAATAATTAGACTGAAAATACATATGCTTCGTAGTTCCAACTCAATCAGAGCTATCCCGGGCTCCTAGCTACCTAGAGGATATTAAATAACAGTAGTATATCTAAGCAATCCAGTCGAAGAAATCAAAATTACTTGTGCTGTACATGGCATCTAAATTCTTGAAACACTTGCTGGCACCTTGGATATTCATCTTTGTGGCATCCCTCATCAAAATTCTGCGAGTAGCTAACGGCATCATAATGGAAGCTTATAGGTTTGGACCCGTAAATGCTCTTGCTCTCACTCATAAGCTTCTTAATCAGCCTTTTCAATCTCCTGCTGCTTCTTCTATTGCTGCCATGGTCGCCAATGTCAATGCGGGAGTACTCTTCGTGTACAGGAACGCACGAGGGAGACATGCATCCGGAGAAGTAAGATGACTTCTGATGAATAAAATCACCCCCCATTGGTCTCTCAATTTGATCGGGAAAATGAAAATGTGGTTGGTTTCTGTAGCTACCTAGTCTTTACTCTTTAGTCTTTACAAATGACAACCCATGGGAGAGAAAGAAGGTAGTATTAGATGCTCTTGAACCTCGTTCGCTTTACTGTCTTTGTTGCAACCAATAGCTTTTCAGTGGGTGTGAAATGTTTATCCAATCAGAACAAGTTCTCTGTCATGTGGGCCTATAATATTCTTCGCCTTTTAGTTTTTGTCCTCTAATTGATGTTTCCTTTCCTTTCCTTTCCTTTTCTCTTTTTTTTTTTTTTTTTTTTCCTTTTGGCCATCTGTTTTCTGCTAAGATTAGATAATTGGAGTTAGATATGCTAATGATGATGTGTTTGGCATTCTAATTCGCATGCCGTCTAATGAAGCGTAAGCAATGTAATATCCTTTCTTGCTTAAAGACCCAATTAATGATAGATTATCATGCTTGCTTACGCTATAGATAAGTGTGGTTCAGCCACTTGGCTGATATCTGTCAGTGACCTGACACGCCACTGCCTTAATGGGGTTCCATGCAACTTGTAAACATTAAGTTGCTAAGACAAGAAATGAATAATTAGTTACTTATTAATTTTTTTTTTCGGTTGGAACTATAAAATTAATATGAATGACAATTTGAATAAGTTGTTAGGGTTGGTTGATTAGAAAGATGAAGCTTTTGTTAGTGCTTAATTACCTACCAACATCAGCTGCTGCAAACTGAAAGATCAAATTTTATAAGGATTATTTTGAACCTTTTTGTTCCTTAACAAATTGCATTTGCATGTTCCTATGAAATAGGAGCATCTAAGCACTAATCAAAATAATGAATCCCCATCTTAATTAGGTTCACCTTCTTTCCTCAATTATTAACGTTAACCTAAGTATGTTGTTAAAGATTCTAACAGAACGTGTAAGAGCAATAAAGATGGCGATTAAGAAAAAAAATATATATCTAATCATATTAATAACCTCCTTTTGATTAAGTTAATAGGTCTGGAACTGACTTTTTGTGAGCTCGACCGCTGCTAGTTTGATGAGGCGTGAGTGGAAGCACATGGAAGCGGAACAAGGACTAGAATATTATTGGCGATCAAACTGGGAAAAAAAAAGGGGACTAAAAAGAAGAATTTTTTTTTTCGTTTTTCTTTTTTGACAAACGTACGAAGGTTACAACCCTCTAGTAGATACAGCCACACTATGAACTAAAAAGAACTAAAATGGAGAATTAGGAAACGCGACATAGCCGTTTGAGCCTTTTTTTTTTTTTTTTTGGGAACATGTGATCTTGAAAGTTGAAACAAGATCTCTGCCGGCCAGAAGAATTGATATTCTGGGGACTTTGGTCCTTGGTTCCTTGTCCTGGACCTCCATCTTGTGAAGGGATGGGCAAACCGGAAAATGGATCTCATCGGTCATTTACAAGAAAATACCCTTGATTTTGGACGGACTTACCGTCCTGCTCCCCGGTTAGGTCCCTTTCTCGCTGCCGTGATCCGTCTCAATTTCTGTACCCTGCAATGCTCAAACTTCTTCGGATACCCCTGCCGCCTGTCCTACCGCTAGACCCTTTCACCTTCGTTCATAATTGGCTTCATATTAAGGACTCATGCAACAGTAGAATATCTACTCCCTCCATCCCAATTATCGTACCGATTTTTAGGTAGAGTTGATGGTGGAATGAGACGGAATAACTCAAGATTCACAGTTTTGATAGTTCAGTGTGTAAAAACATATTATTAATAATTGAGTGATCAAATCTTGACTATTGAAAAAATTTAGTGGTTATCAGAGTAATTTGCTCAAAAAAAAATTTACATTCTTAATACCATGGGACGAGGCGGACCCTTGAGGGTTGAGAGGGAGAGAGAGAGAGTTGAGACGCTAAAACCGAAGAACTCAACGATGGGATAGGACTACTAGTCTAGCTTTTGTGGACTAATCTTGATCAAGCCCACATTCATGGAAACTGGAAAGGCTGGCCTCACTGCACCTTTCGAATGCCTCTTCAGGCCAACACGCCTTTGCCGCCAGATGCCTAGGAGCTCAACGATGGAATCATGGAAAGGGCTGGACTCGCTTGGAACCCGCAAAATGCTCTTCACGCTTAACAAATTCATCACTAGATGCAAAGACATTTTTTTACTTGGAAGGTCTAGGTCCAGCTACATACATGAGAGGCCCATCCCATTAGGCCCAAAAATGTGAGTTTCATTTCAAAATTATATTGACAGGAGCAAAGAACCAATGAGTCAACAAGGCAAACTGGAATTGGATGAACTCTGTGGTTTGTGGCTAAGAAGTGTTCCATTCTGGATAGGGCTTTCATGGCTGATTTTGGTGTGATTATCTTGCTTACCTACGCTAACCCGAAAAACCAAAATAAATAAATAAATAAATAAAAACTCTGAAACAGAAATTCCAGATATTCATACAAATTAAAGCAGCACTTCATAATCTAACTAGTTGTTTTCTATATAATAATATTAATACTTATTTATTTTGGCAATTACTAATCTAGCTAGTTGTTACTAGTGTTATTTAGGCGAAATAATTTACCTTTGCTGTTACGTTTTTTGACAAAAAACTTTTTGAGAAAATCCGGTAGATGATGTGTTAATATCACCTGAGTTTAGTTGCAAAAAATCCAAACGTTCAAGTCTCACTAGTTTCTTCTTCTCCTACCCTTTGTGAGTTTAGTTGTAATTTCACCATTTGTGAATTAATTGTATTACTTTCGCCATTGTCAGTAAAAAGGGCAACACGTAATAGTGCGATTGAGACAATGCAAATTAATTACAATGAATTATTCCTACCACTAATTCACTCACATCACAAAATGGTGAGGGGATAACTAATACTCGTAGGCGGAATCTCAAGCAGTAAAAATAGATTCATCCGGTTTTGATTTTTGCTCGAATGCTAATTTTTTCTGATCTCTCTTTGGTTTAGAATTAAAAACAGAAATATGGAAATGCTAGTAGCAGCAACAGCCATAAGCCCATAACGCGACAAGCACCAGAAATATTTCAAAATTTTCTTCCACCACCCAAAATCAAATCTCCCATGAATGATCCCCATCCCATCCCATCCCACAACAAAACGAGACAGAGACAGTGGGCTGAGTTGAGTGTGTGTGTGTGTGTGTGTGTGTGTGTGAGTGGATGCCTGCGTGCGTCTGCAATTTGCATGTATAGTAGATAAGCAGAGTAAGAAGAGAGAGAGAGAGACACACAAAGGAGGAAGATGGCAATGGCGATGGCTCTTCGCAGGCTCTCTTCAGTTGTCGACAAACCCATTAAGCGCCTCTACAATGGCGGCTCTCTCTATTACATGGTCACTTCGGGTTTTGGTTTTTTCCA